GAAGTTCCCTCTGGGGAAGACCATGTGTACAGTTGTACAGTCACTGTTTAAGTTGTTGAAAAACGTTATTTGTAATGACAAGGTTGTTGATCTGGCAAAATCCTATCATGTGATCTCCATTTTCGTTTCTGAAATCAAAGCCGTATTTTCCAACTACTGTTCCTACCTCTGTGTTTGCAACTTTTGTTTTACAGCCACCAGTATTTTTTAATACATCTCCATTGCATGTTTGATCACCTTCAGACAGAGGAAGTTGGTAGAGTTCTTCAGTTTCTTCCTCATTAGTTTTAGTTGTTGGTGCATGAATTTGAATAGTAGTTTTTTATTACCTGGATTTTCTTGTAGGCATGTAGAAAATATGCAATTACAGATAGCACTGTACTTCAAGGTAGATCTAGAAATGTTCTTTTTGCCAATTAGTGTGACATATTCCTTTGAACATGTTATCTTGGCTTAGTAAACCCATATGATTGTTTGGTTCAAAATAGCCAGTATCAGTCTATTTTATAGACATTTTAGTGCCATATTTACGCAATCCAGTCAATTTTGATGATTCTTAATTCCCTAGATTCATACTTTGTACATTCTACATTCCAGTCATTAGTAAATATTTGTAGCTGTTTTTCCTCATTTTGAGGTGTGCCCTATAAATAAATGAAGGCCCTTAAGCCTTAGCCACATCGTGATGTCGACTCGGCAGTCTAGTTTTGAGTGCATTCCAAGCCGAGGGCTCGTCTTTCTGCACGCATGTAGCTGACACTGCTCCCTGGTTTCATAAGGTTTCCGTGGTTAATTCCTCAGAAGTGGATAGGCTACTCCTCCTTCAAAGTCTTTTTTCACTCTGGAAGCTCTACTGAAGCATATTAGCCTTGGGTGACCTTACTGATATTTGAAATACTATTGACATAACTTCCAGTATCTTTGCAACATGCAAGCCACTACAGTCTGACAAACGGAAAGATCAGTGTTCATCTCCCTTGACAGTCATGACATTCTTTGTTCCTGATTCTGCGATGGCTAATTTTAGACCCAGTGAGATGACAAAACTGACCCTGTCCGAGTTTAGAGCCCTCTACACCTAATTGCTTGCAGCCACTTAGTCATTTGGTCAGCGTTATAATGACCATGGCTAGAAGGGCCATAAAGTAATTCAACTGAAATGCACTGGCCCCTGATGATTATTGCTTATGGGTTAAAGGTGGTGATAGTTTGATCTTAATGTATTCACTGGACTGCCATTCTAAAATCCTACTTTGAATTTCATAGCTCTGTATTTTTCATTTTCCAGAATGGCTTCCTTTGGATGGAAGAGGAAGATTGGTGAGAAGGTCTCAAAAGTCACGTCCCAGCAGTTTGAAGCTGAAGCTGCTGATGAGAAGGATGTAGGTGAGAATGATGAAGGGAATTGGCTTCCTGCCACTAAACGCAGGAAAGAAATTCTCCTTGAAGACTGCGCTGAGAAGAGTAAACAGCTAAAAGAAGAAGGAGCCAATTTGGCTGAAAATAAAAGGTATGGTTTTAGAATTTCTTCTCTAATTTTAGAATTAATATTTTCTGACTCATTCATCAATAAGGTGAAGAGCTATGAATTCATTTTTATTTATTTATTTATTTTTAAAAATCATTTTATTAGGGGCTCATTCA